ATTTTCACCCTTGGCAAAAGCGATTGAACACTTTGATTTTATTCTTGCTAAAAGGAACCAAAGTCTGGTAAAGTCACCTTCTGTCAGTATTGCCCTCTCCTTGGTGATCCCTGGGTTCAACGTAAGAATAATGACATGGATTGAGAGATTTTGACATATTAACATTTATATTTTAGAACAATGCCGATTTCAAAGTTTCAGAAGTTGTGGATTTTCTGGCATTACAAGGTCACACGGACGAAGAAACTATGATGTACGTTAAAAACCGTATCTTAGGTAAGCTGAATTAAAAGGTTCGCAGTAAAGGAAGGATTATGGTTTTCTGATCGGGTTCCCAAAATATAGATTTATCCAAAAGTAACAAGTTGGCTGGCTTCCGCTACACCCCCAAGTCGGCTGGTATGCCTTCAGATGCCGAAGTAAGTATATAGTGTCTTTTTAATGATGATTTTGGTTTTTTAATTATTATATTACAGATCTTGTTGCATGTGTTAGAGGTTTACTTAAGCCTTAAGGAGCCCATGTCCATTCCCCCACTTGTGCCTGTAAGTAATCAAATAACAATCTATACGCAATATTCTAATTTTTAATTTCAGCCCCCCGTCAATGTGTTTAAATACCTTTTAACCTATGTTTATCTAACCCCAGAGTAAGTTATTTATTCGGTATGAAGTGTTTTGACTGATTATTTTTTATTAGGTTGGAGCACTGGGCCGTCTTTGAAAAGACTAGTTGAAAATAATTAAATAAAATAAAAAACAAAAGAAAAGGCTTTTAATCTCTATAACCAGCTACTGTCATTTACATTTTTATTTCTTTGATATCATTACAGCCATACGAAAGTGAGAGTCCGTATATTTACACTTCAGAGGCATACGCAAAAGATGCTAGATGCGGTTTAGATTGCCTTAAATCAAACATTCTGTCGATATCAATTCGCATAATCGCCTAGCAAAAATCACGCATTGCATTTGATAGATAGAATAGTTTTGGGTTTGTAGTAGTCATAAAGAATGGGCCACTTTAGCTAGTAAAGCTTCAACTGTATGGTGCAACTTGAGTTGTGCATCATGACCAGTAAATGTGTTTGATGAGTATATATGCTTCCTAGTAAAAAGATCATATGGTGATGCGTGCGGACATTCAACCACATGCGAAAAAAAAAAAAAAGTACGAAGCAGACGTACAGCTAGTGAAAACACACGGAATCCAGAGGATTTATCACAAAGAATTTTAGTGTGAGTAATAAGGAGATTGTTGTATGTTATCCATTGAATTTTTATCAAGTGTCAAATTTGAAGTCCGTCACATAAAAAAAAAAAAAAATGAAATCACCAGCAATTACAATGAATATGTATGGATGTTGAATTATAAATTCTAATGCTTCTAGCAGTAGGTCAGGGTTTTGGCAAGGATCTGGAGACGCATAAATGATACAGTAGAGAGTATAATTAAACGTGACAGTTGACACACTTACAGAGGAGGAGGAGGAGGAGGAGTTATTACTGTTAAAAGCCTTGTTGAAAAAGTATGATCTCCTAATATAGAGCCACAGACGTAACAGCAACTGCCTATGGGCTTACGTACACCATCTATACAATTAACAGCCGAAACCAATTTACAACCGGGAATTTCAAATTTATCTGTTGGTAATGTCCATGTTTCATTGAAGAGGAATACATCAAATGATAGATATACGGGGTCGTTGACGATCTGATCCAAGTGTGCCTGGAGACTTTGTACATTATGCTGATCATAGCCATACAATTTTTCTTTTGATTTTTCCAATACTCAGAAGATGAACGAACTCCCGAAAATGTCTTGAATGCTTGATCGCGGTTTAAAAGCCTTGTGAAATAATCTTCGTTGGCAACATCCTTAGCTGTAAAAGGGACACCATCACTTGCAGCATTGCCTCATTTTCTCAAAATGGTATTGATATTAGAACTCATTCTGTAGAGCAGAACTTTTCAATCCACGTACAGAACGAAGTCAGGACGCATGGCAGCTCTTCTATCAAATCTTCGGGTAACAGATTTGGTCAAGGAACTATAGGAAATAGATTCCGATCCTTCAAGCTTTTGACCGTAATATACTTTTGGAAATGACAGGAAATCACTATCCTTGTTTTTAAGAATCGAGATTGGGATTCTACCTTCACCGGGAGCGATTATAATGGTAATATCATTATAACTGATTAACATTAAATCGGATGTTCCAGCATTCAATGGTTCATTGTCAGCCGCATCACCTTCCTCTGTATCACTGGTATCATTGATTGTGTCTGTCGTTCCTGGTTTCTTCCGTATCCTCATCGACAGTGTCTGTACTGGCAGTGCTCATATTGACAGGTTCATCATGAGTTTCATCGTAAACATCAAGTGTCACATTTGTTGCCGTCCATTGTTGTTCCTCTGCAAGCTGGACATCATACTCAGCATGCAAAGGCATGGTTTGGAGATAGGTAGCAGCTTCCCAAACTTTTGCAGGACTAACGTTACCTTTGATATAATCCTTGGTGAAGATAAGTTTTCTTGCTAAACTAACGTGAATTATGCCTGTTAAATCTTAATTTCGAGGCAAGCAGCTGACACTTGTATCGACATTTACCACAACATTAAAGATTCCGCCTTTTGAAGAAAATAAGTCCATGTATGCTCTGTTAGATATAAATAGATTAATTTTATAAAAAAAAAGATTTGAGATTTACAGAATGAGATACACATTTTAGCAAAGTAACTCTTGTGTGACCATGCAAGAACGTACTCGTTACACACACACTGCAAAAATGAACAGTAACGTTTTTTTTTTTTTTTTTAAAAAAATAGAATAAACATGCTTTGAAATTTTTCTTTTTTTTTTATACATATAACTCGTTATGCCTTACACGTCCCATAACGCTTGTATTGTTCAAACTAATGGTGCAGTATTACTGGCCATGGTCATACTCAATTATTTGATCTTCTCTTTTAACATTTGGCCTCTCACATATGTCTTCGACGCGATGTTAACTCAATGTTTAGGTAAGAGTATGAATAATTGAATTACCAAAGCGTGGTTCTAATCAAAGCCCATTCAGAAATATTGCTTTCTCTTCTTTGCATTTACAATATTTGGTCAATTTACAAAGGAACGATCAACTCATTCATTGCTAAAGTTAGGGTTCCTTATGACGTTTATTTTTTCAGTAAGTAGAAACATCGAGAAAGTAACTTTTTTTTTATTAAACATTACTGCGACAGAACCTGGGCCTCTTTCAAAAAACTTTTTCAAAAGAGTAAACTTAGTATTATATGGTAATATACGTTGAATGATTAGACCTATTTTTATTAAAAAGACTAAAATATTCATTTCCGTATAGAATTCTTACTGGGAAGACAACCTGTTGTACCCAATACGCGCACACCCGCTCCAAAGGGACAACCAACAAATCATATGTTTGCCGATTTCTTAAACTTTATCAGGGAGAAAATCGTTAGTCCCATTTCAGCCGCCCCCAGTATTCATTCTTCCAGTAGTTCTGTTCCCGGTCTCACAACCTCTTGTACGCCAAGTCTTACCAGCATATTTAATACAGGATTCAACTCTTCTTTTGACATCTCACCACAGAGAGTCTTTTCGGCTTTATCCAATTCATTAGTTCCCAGAAGCAATACATTTAACATTGCAGTACCGAAGCTTAAGTATGTACCATGCATTAGGCCCCCTCTTCGACCATCTGCCCAAAGAGAGCGCATCATGTGGTATTTGAACAGAACAGAAGAAGTAATTACAGACTTTCGAATCGAACAGGTAAACACAAGAATGAATAGATACTCGAGTAGATCAATAATATATTAACAATACAATACTTAGATTCTTGAACTAAAGAAACATTGGACCAAATTCAACGATCGCTGCTCCAGCATGTTCTATGACAGACTTCTTCTCGTAAGTGTGATTGTATAAATTATTTGGAGACATGTTAATCAACTCTTTTTTTTGAAGGTCTTGTACGAAAAAATATTTTCACCCTTGGCAAAAGCGATTGAACACTTTGATTTTATTCTTGCTAAAAGGAACCAAAATCTGGTAAAGTCACCTTCTGTCAGTATTGCCCTCTCCTTAGTGATCCCCGGGTTTAACGTAAGAATAATGACATGGATTGAGAGATTTTGACATATTAACATTTATATTTTAGAACAATGCCGATTTCAAAGTTTCAGAAGTTGTGGATTTTCTGGCATTACAAGGTCACACGGACGAAGAAAGTATGATGTACGTGAAAAACCGTATCTTAGGTAAGCTGAATTAAAAGGTTCGCAGTAAAGGAAGGATTATTTTTTTCTGATCGGGTTCCCAAAATATAGATTTATCTAAAAGTAACAAGTTGGCTGGCTTCCGCTTCACCCCCAAGTCGGCTGGTATGCCTTCTGATGCTGACGTAAGTATATAGTGTCTTTTTAACGATGAGTTTGGTTTTTTAATTGTTATATTACAGATTATATTGCATGTGTTAGAGATCTACTTAAGCCTTAAGGAGCCCATGGCAATTCCCCCACTTGTGCCTGTAAGTAATCTAATAATAATATATGCGCAATATTCTAATTTTCAATTTTAGCCCCCGATCAACGTGTTTAGGTACATTCTAACATATGTATATCTAACCCCAGAGTAAGTTATTTATTCGGTATGAAGTACAACATGTTTTGACTGATTATTTTTTATTAGGTTGGAGCACTGGGAGATCTTTGCAAAGGCCAATTAAAAAGAATCAAATGAAATAAAAAACAAATCAATTTCTATAACCAGCTACTGTCATTTACATTTTTATATGTATTATATCATTACAGCCATACGAAAGTGAGAGTCCTTATATTTACACTTCAGAGGCATACGCGAAAGATGTTAGATGTGGTTTAGATTGCCTTAAATCAAACATTCTATCGATATCAATTCGCATAATCGCCTAGCAAAAATCACGCATTGCATTTGATAGATAGAATAGTTTTGGGTTTGTAGTAGTCATAAAGAATGGGCCACTTTACGTTGTTGTGTTACCAAATACTCGAGAAAAAAATGGAGCACCACCCTTCTTTTAGTTTCTTTTTGTTAAACTCTTTTATCAGGAAATTAGTTTAAGACAATGCAATGGAAGACCACTATGACTATTCTCACCATGCATTTTGTATTGGTTTCAGTAAGCAACTCTTTTTATAAAATGTGTTGGATGCTCACTCGTAATAGCTTTCAATAATTGTAATCTCATGTCAAAACTGATTAACATTGATGACCATCCTCAATTTTTGAGTCGCTTAAGGTAAATTAGTACAACGACCTTAGAGTATGTGTCTTCTGACTTGAACAGCGTTTTTATTTCTTAAATAAAATAGAAGCGAAAGAACCGAAGTCCCTTCATTTTTATACCATACCGACCACAAAATCGTTATAGCCAGAGGTAACTCAGCCGATACAATGATGAAAAAATCCAAAGAACACCAAGAAGGTCTATTTTATGCGCGCAACATTTTTAGCGAACTTCACTCTATTTATTCAAGATCGCGCCATGATTCTGGTTTTCAGCAAAGTCCATATGACAAGATTGTTCTTCAGGAAGTAGTGTATGCCTTACAACAGGAGGTGACTTATTGGAAGCAAGAACTACATTGCTCACCTGCCGATTTTTACTATGCATTCAATTTACCAACAAACTGGGATTGTAAAATAAGAGAAGTATTAATCCGACCTCTCTTCATCAAAGCGGATCTTATTCACGAAAATGATGGTCAGGGCAGACTGATTTTTTTCACAGAGCTGGAATCAACTTTTAGATTTATGCAAACAAACGATTCAATCATTGCAAATATGGAAATAAAACCGGGGAATCAGATTCTTATTTGTTCATTAGATTTACAAAAGGAAGCACGGGTGAATATGGAGTTACTCTCAGTGCATTATCCAGCCCTGACAGCGACAGACAACATGTGTGTCTCACAATGGTTGAGTAAAGCTCATTTTAAGATGTCTCTTGGATTGATGGAACTAAAATCAACTTTATCAGCGTTCATGGAAGAGCGGTGTGATATCGTTCTGACATCTAAATTTATTGACATAATGCTAAAAGCCATCCGGTTATTGATCAATGATTTCAAAAGTGTAGGAAGAAGTAATAATTGCTCAAATTTATCGAGAAAAACATTTTAACCTTCTATTTTTTTTTTTTTTTTTTTTTTTTTTTTTTTTTTTTTTGTAGAAGAAAAAAGGTTTGACGTTTAAAGAAAAGCTACAATCACGACCGTTTCAAAGTTTAAAAGATATCCATGATAAGCAATTCAAACTGAATGACTCGATAATCAAGATTATAGAATCAGCAACTATGGAGGATGTCTTAAAAAACTGGACTGATTCTACCGAGAGACACTTTATTGGCCAAATGAATATTTTACTTCAAGGAATGGGCAATACAAAAGCGAGGTTAATGATCATTTTTTACACTGAAAGGATTAAACAAAACTGGGATTTGTCACTTTTTCTCAGGTCAATTGAGAAGTGGTCAAAAACGTATGCCAGAGAGCAACTAGACACTTACAAATTAATAGCTAACGAAGATGCTTCCAGTTTTCACCTAAAAGTGACCTATAAACAGGATGGCCTTTCGGATCTAGTGAGAAAACAAATGCAAGACTTTAATATGCGTAGAGACCCAATCATACTACCGATGGAAACACCTACTGAGATACCCAACACTCCTTTACAGCCTGTTTATTTTATCAACATTGGTAAATATTAGGCTGCGTTTTTCAATCTCTACTGTATTTAACAATTTCTATAACTACACAGATATTTTGCCAACGCAAACCAAGACTATGATCACATACGTAGATGGTGACAGCCAAACCAAGCAAGCGGTAAATGTTAAATGGTAACTTTTACAAGACAGGGAGATATATTTATATGCATGAACGGAACCTTACGTTTTTGATTGTAGCAATATACCACCATTAAATTGTTACATCAGACAATCGAAAATGTATCAAAATCCGGAACTTTGTATATCTAATAGGTAGCAATAGCACGAGCATAAAAGTAATTTATTTTATTAACTCTAAATTTTGTACAGACTGAAGCTAGTTATGGAAGATATTTTTGGTGACCATCTCAAAGTGTGCTTAAATCAAAAGAAAAAAATAAAAACAAGTAGGAAACAACTAAAGGAAATCAGGGATTTATTTGCTCTATCAAAACCAAACTTACTTGAACAACTTACAAAAAATGTGAAATTGGATGGACTTTTTACTTTGGATGAGCATTCTTGTAATGACGATGCAGATTTAGTAACTACCTATGATCCAGCTTATATCTTCTTTTTTACGATGATGTATCTACAACATCTTAACAAGCTGTTAGAAGAGCAGCTAGAAATTAGTTTTGGAGATGACTGGAGAGGCAAAAATATATGGTATGGCGTCTCTGTTGACAAACATTTATTGGGTACCGTTTTTGGCTCAACAAAGAAATTGGAAAAGCTATTTTATGCAAGTGGCATACTAGACGACAGTCTTCGAAAAGCCAAATTCTGCAATCGTGGCGAGGAAATCTTGCCTGCTATTCAACACAGACTACCCTACTTGCACTTTAAAGTGAAATCTTATTTTGTGGTTGCACAAATATTTTCAAAGCATATGCAACTCACTTTGCATCAGGTTGTTAAAGTTGCCTCAACAGGTGAAGATGCGGCTAGCGTTATTATAAAAGATAAAATAGTAGATATGAACGATGTGTCTGAGGTATTAGGCAAAGAAATATGGACAAGTATACAACTTAACGGTCAGACGGATTACTGCAACATACATGAGGATGGAAAAAATGAGCGATATGATCCCAGCTCATTTCAAACTTACAGCTATATGTACCGAAATATAAAATCATGCGTAACTCGGCTTGTAAGTTGAAATTCAATTTAAATAATACTTTTCTAATCATTATTATGGTAGTTGGAAATGAACAAAACAGATTTGGATATGAATTCTAAAACAAGCCTAAAATTGAACACCAAATGCTCTTGTAGTGTCAACATTACTCTGCGTTGCATTCTTGATGTGGGTCTGAAGTCCGTCATTGAAAATATGGAACAAATTATGGCGGCATCATTGGCAAACAAGCTGCTATTTGGAAACTATGAAACAGATCATCTTTTTGTGTTCGGGAATCCCTTTAGTTTACCCTATGACTCAATGATTTACAAAACATACATGAGGTTGCTACAACAGGAAGTTGATATTGGTATACAGCTAAAGGACAGGGATACGCAGGCGTTTGTACTGACTGATTCTGTCTCACAACTATTGGAACGGGTGTCACTCATAAAGCCTTACCTGTATGAAAGGTTCATCAGGGGAACTTTGTGTCACGTATCAAGTGAGACATATGCGGTGCGATATCCATTTCAATATTCAAAACAATATTCTCCTTTTGTTCGTATAAACCGCTGTGGTGATATAAAAAGTACTGTAGGAAATAATGGTAGTTATTTGGTATTTATCCAAAAAGGAAAACCAATCTCGGGAAAGGGACTAATGATACAAATCAAAGAAAACAAGAACCTCTTTGCAAATGCTGGTATATTTTTCTCTGTTCATCTGAATGGACAACATGTAATTTTGTGTGTTAATTGCTTTGTATGTAGAGATTCTTAAGGTGAGGCCTTCAAAGGATACCGTTTTTGAGAAATATACTCTTATAGACGCCTACTCGGAAGGGTCAAAACATTTATTTTACAGTGAAAGTGAACAACGTCCTACCTCAAAATTAGTGATCGACTGCAAACGTATCAACCATAATTATCTTCTCCAACTGTCATCGAGAATGATAGGCCATGATATTGGTTACAATCAGGGACATGACGAAGATTTCATAACTTTAGGAGAACCGTTGACACTCGCTTATATTTGAACAATCAGCTCAATAATTTTAATAAATCAACGTCTCCGTATATCAAGTGATGACACTTTTGTCAGCCATTTAGTTATTATTTATCCAGCTAACTAGTCATATGACAGCAAGGGAATTGTGAATTGTATATTTTTTCTCCTCACTCGTTTATGATAGTTTAGCCATCTTTCTTTTTATCACCTTAAATCTCAATCCCGGGCCAACTGCATAAAATTCGACACGATCAAGGTCGAATGATATTCAGGCTGACGCTGTGTATATTTCTGGAGGCATGTACCTGAATTACATGTACCAATCTTAATAAGTTACCACCAAGAGTTGAACGAATGATAAATAATGGTATGAAAATCCACCCAAGTACAAGTTAATGATCATGAATGACTTGCATGAATTAGAATTTTTTTTTTATTTATGTTCATATTTAAGACGATCTTAATCCTCCCTATTTTCTGAACATCCTTTGACATCCTCGAATCATGGTCCTATGCCCAAAAAAAAAAAAAAAAAAAAAAAAAAAAAGCCCATATCTCTACTTACATAACGGATAATCGCCCCTTTTTTTTCAATTCTCTTCTAGCATGGCTTCTATACAAAAAACCATCCAACTGGATTCTGACAGTAAAAAATTCTCCCCCGACGTAAGTTCCATCTGACTTCCTTGCCGTATCTCTCCTCCCTATCTTCCAAACGCTCTTTTTCTCGGATCAATCGTACAGACTCTGATTTGCGCTTTCGTTATCAAGAAAAGAATGCTTTTAAATCGACTACTAGAAACGGACATGTTCGTTTAATTAACAATTTACGTCAAGATTAACATTTCAACAGGTCTTTCTAAGCCTTGCAAGCGTTACCCGAATTTCCTTTTCGTATTTCTGCCATTTATTTATTTTTCCCTCCTTCTTCAATAAGCGTGCAATGAATCCGTTTTGCTATTCGATCATACACGGTAACTTGTGTCTCTAGATAGCTGTTTTCAAGTTGTTACCTTTGGATCTACAACCTTGTCATCCTGAACTGTAGTTAATCAATCAATTACTATACCATTAGTCCAGAAAAAGAAAAAAAAAAAGTAGGCACAAAAAGAAAACAAAGACATCAGTTTTTGTCACACAATGGTTCATCGGAGCACGAATGGATCTCCAAAAAAAAATAATTGGAAACTGCCCATTTTTCATAAATGATTGATTTGTATTTTAATTTGAGGAAAAACGAAATTTGGGTAAAAGAATGTGGCATGACTGTGAGAAAAACCAATACTCTTGTTTGTTTTACAATTTTAAGACTGGCTAGGGAAACGTCCTGGATACAGACGGATAACATGTTTATTAGTTACTCTTTTTGGGGCTTAGATATAAGCCAGTGTTAATGGTTCTCCCTTAATCGTCAGTTTGAATGGATCCACACAAGAGTTGTGATAGTCGGCCATTCGTCTCATTGAAATTTCAAAAGAATAATCATAGTTGATGAATTTACATTCTATAATAAGATCCTGGGCCGCGGGTGATGTGCCACCGGTTTCCAAATAGTGACATGGCCCTATTGAGGATCGGTCTATCATATCATACAATTCTGGTTCTGCACCAGCTAATTTTTTCACTTTAATAAATTCTAGAAAGACGTTAAAGCGACTTGAACATAAAATAAAAATATATAATTGAAAAACTTACCAGCCCAAATATTCTTTTCCTGAGATTTAAGTTTGATCATTGTTCCCGTTGTTGAAATTGGTTTTCCTTTTACAATACAAGCCATATAATCAAAACAGCCTTCTACATACTTTTTAATTTTTCCACGGCGGTTCATAAGATCGAAAGAATAACAAAATTGAAAGTTAAACCGTACGCCATAGGTGCTGTTTGGCACCTGGCACAAAGTTCCAGTAACAAACCTGTCGTACAGGTATGGCTTAACGTCCTGAACTGTCTCCAATAATATTTCAATTGAATCTCTAAAAACAAACGCTTCTGTATCGTTTGCTTTTAATTGTATAGCATCATCAATTGCTCTTTGCACGGCTGTGGCGTATGCAGTATGAATAGATGAACCATAAGACATGTTAAATGGATCTCCCAACACAAAAAGATACTTGGGTTCGTAATATTTGAATAACGCTTGATTTGTCAATGAAGCTGCGATGATAGCTGTAATATTTTTTGCGATTGATTGCAGACCTGCTTCTACAACAAGATCGAGATGAATCCAAATACCGCAAGCGCATTCATTGTTGGTATTAAACTTGATTTTGGAATTCATATCCATATGCTCCTTATTTTTTCCTAACTGTCATATGATATTTAAGTTAATTAGAGAATACTAGCACCTAAAATCCAACTTACAAGCTGAACTATACATTGCTTCAAATTTTGACGACTACTGATGTACGAATGAGATGATTCGAAATCGAAAATTTTATCTTTTCTATCCTTGTGTATGGGACAGTAATCAAAGTGACAGTTGCATTGAATAGCTTTCCAAACTTCTTTACACAGGGTGTCATATACATCATCGATGTGTATTATTTCATCTTCCACAATGATGGTTGCAGCTTCTACATCTTTGGATGCCAGTCGAACAACTTGATGCAATGTTAGTTGGATATGCTTTGTAAATGTTTGTGCCACAACAAAATATGACTTTATCTTAAAGTTTAAATCTTTCATTTTTTTCTGAATAGCAGGTAGAATTTCTTCACCACGGGTGCAGAATTTTGCCCTTCTAAGATCGTCATTCTTTTGAAGGATACCGCTTGCATAGAATAATTTCTCTAATTTCTTTGTCGAGCCAAACACGGTATCCAATAAATGCTTGTCAACAGATACACCATACCAGATAGACTTGCCTCTCCATTCATTCCCAAACCTGTCATCAAGTTTATTCTCCAAGAGCTTGTTTAAATTGCGAAAGTACACAATCATCAAGAAGAAAAGGTAGCCTGGATCACATGTATTCACTAAATTGGAATCATATTTTTCGGAGTTACTATTCATCTCAAAAAGGTTATCTAATTCAGCATTTCCCATCAAATGTTCGAGTAAGTTTGGTTCTGAGGAGGCAAATAAATCTCGAATCTCCTTTGACCGGTATGTGCTTGTTAGTTTTTTATCGAACCGAATGTCAAAAGTACTCTTGATCTCAAAGTTTTGCAAGACTTGATTATATAACTTTGACGCAGCGTAAATAAGCTTTCTGGATAACGAATCTTTTCTGTTGGAATTTGAGTACATTTTCAGATAGTCACCAAACAAGTTGTCCAAATATGTCTTGTATCTGTATTTTCAGAAAATTAATGGTTGATTCCATATTATCTGCTCATACTTACATCTTATTCATGCAAAGTTCTTGTCTTTGATACATTTCTGATTGCTTGAAAAAACAATCAAGTGGTTGTATATCACTACAAAAAAAAAAAAAGAAAAAAAAATAAAAAGAAAGTAAAGTTAATATTCTGGTGAATGGAATCCGTTGCGACAATATATTGATTACCACTCAATGTTTTCCGTGTAATTGATTTTACTATGATCATCCATGTATGTAAGGGTTGTCTTGATTTGTGTGGGTAATAGGTCTAGTTGATTATATAAAATAAATTAGTTTTTAGCAAATGATAAAATTGAACTAATTTACCTATATTTATAAAATAAACAGAACTCGATGAATTTTCGGGAGGTATGGCTGATTCGTCCTTTGGTATTATGATTGGGTCTCGGTTTATGTTATAATCTTGTAAGGTTTGTTTCACAAGGTCCTCAAGGCCATCCATTTTATTTTGTAAATCGGAAAAAGAACTGGGAGGATCTTCATTCGTAATCAAATTGTAAGCATTCTTTTGTTCTTCTGCAAACTTCTTTGACCATATTTCAGCTGCTTTTAGTGGCACAATTGAGCGATAATGGTTTGGTATGCCCTCATTGTAAAAAAATATCATCTTTCTGTCAGTATTTTTCATTCCCCGAAACAGAATGTTCATTCCTATGATAAAGCTTTCCTGGACAGAATTAGACAAATTCTCAAAAACATCTTCCAGAGTCAATGCTTGAATAATGTCGAGTTCAGTATTTCTCGTGCTGTGTTGCTCATCATACAAAAAAGGTAATTGAAGAAACGGTTGATATAATAGAAAATCATCTGGTGGTATCTGGTAATAGGGCTAAAACAAAAGTACAATAGGTAAATGCTTAAACTTTTCGATTGCCAATTTCAATTACCCCATCTATTCCTCCAACCAAGCTTTCTAGGAGTAGTGTAACCATCCCAATCAATGGACTAATGACTTCGAATATCATTATACTTTTACAACGCCTTTCCAGACAAGCTACTAATGACGATTCTATTTCTCGTGATCCAAAAGAAATAGTTAAGCTGGTAGAGTTCAATACTTGTGGAACAAATTTATTGTCCGTTGTCTTCCAACCAGGGTATTGTGATATTGCCAATTTTAAATCTACATGGACCTCTGTTTTGAAATCAATGGAACATATAACATACTCCTCACCAAGTCTTGTGTCTACCTTCTGCGTGCCATAATCACATATTTGCCTGTACCGAAAAATAGTCTCTAACTCGGTGAAGACATTTAATTTGCTAGGGCAATCATTTTCAGAGATAAGATCCGATTTTATGAATAGATACCGAATTATCTCCTCCCTTGCTAGGTAATTCCAACTTGTTGGAACGGTAAATGCATAACAACAGTTTTCGGTAGAGCTATAGAGGGTTCTTGCCCAATACGCCGCTCGCGTATGTAATACATATATCGCCTCTTGGAGGATAAGAGCTTCGTACGCATGATCTTGACAAGTGTCTTGTTGTGATCTGAAATAAACATCGTGGAGTTCGATAAAAACATTGCGTACATAAATTAGATTATTTTGGAGTCCTTTAGATTCCCACATCAATTTATTGGCTGAGTCACCTCTGGCGACAACAATTTCGCTGGTCGTATCGTACACAAACGAAGGAGCTTCTTTGATGGGCATTCGTATGCTTTTTTTTTAAAAAAAAATTAAAAAAATCATGTTAGACGCAGTGTATGATAATATAACAATGTCGACCTACTCTGAGCGATTTCGAGAACTAGAATAGCCATCAGCCTCAATTGCATTAGACATGAGGTTGTTGTAGTCAAAAACTAATTCCAGTCAGTACATTCCAACTTGACAATACAGTTATTCTGTTACCGAAATTAATACTATATTCCTGTTGAGGATAAGTATAGTCTGCTCCCATTTCTTTATTCTAACCAGGTTTCACGAGAGTAAAGCTGATCAAAATAGTAAAGGTGATCGAAATATAGCTAAGCCAAAGGACGTGGTTTATTTATTAGAGTAAACAGTAACACAATAATGTATATGGTAAGTAAGGCAAAAGGATCAAATCAAAGTGGTAGCATTACCTAACTAGACCTTAAAAAACAGGGTCTTTTTTTTATAAAAATTCCTCCATGACAGGATAGGCGGGATACATACGACTTTTTTAATAATATTGATTTTACTGCTTCATTTTAAGAACGAGTTCGTGTGACAAAAGAAGGGCTCTGGTTTGTAACACATCAAAAACCAGTAATGCCACATTCAAAAAAAAAAAAAAATATGCATGAATATTTTTTTCGCTGTTTACATTACGACCGATGAGAAAAACGCGCAACATTTCCCACAAAGTATAAAAGAGAATATGGTTGAGAATTTATAGTACAAATTCACCATCCAGCCATTGTCAACAACAAAAGCAACCGATCTTGAATGACAACAAAAAAATTACCTTCAGTTGTAAAGAGTGATTCTTTCTTTGAAGATTACGTCGCTTTAAGACTTTGTTGCGTTTGTGAAGACGTAAGATGCTCGTACGTATTTCAGTTTCCCCGTCGGCTTCGCATTGAATTTTCTTTTCTTTAGATTTTTTTTTTTTTTTAATTGTGCCATGGAATTTCCTGCTTTCTACAATTCAAGGCTTAACGGACAAGAAGAAGATCACTCAAGTTGAATATATTTATGCAATTTTATTTATTTAATGTGTGGACACCTTAGCCTATAATACTAAAGTCGAGTTCCTTATTTTACGGCAATCAGACAGAGTGAAAAAAGATGGAATGGCCAAACTAATGAAGATGGGTTATTGAGTTCAGCGGAACATTGAGAACGTCCGTGGTGCTCATACAGGATGATACCTTACGACAACATGGAAATACAAAATCTTCTGTGGTGAATAGCTGCTTCTGGCGTCATTATAAATACCGCGTACGAATCAGCATTTGCATGAATAAGGATCTGTATATGTCAGTGCAAGAAACAGGGCTTTTATCTTAAGAATAAGAATTTTATCTTTATTTTTATGATTATTTTACGCAAACTCCACCTCCCCCCCTTGCCTGTCGGAACAGCCAAAAGTGAAGGACATGTTTGTAAAAGACATTAGTAAAAAAGTGGCAGAACTTCATACACGTTTAAGCGATAATAATTCACTTGATATTCTCGACTGCCGTTTCTAGACTTAGGGAGGGCTTCATAAAAATACAGTAGTCAAACGTTTATATCACATACCATGTTAGACATTTATACATCAGGATACATCTCCTCTACAATAACTATTATGACTCTGAAAATAAAACAATTAGTTGTGTAAACTTGGCAATTGTAATCATAACCCCGTACCTTTGGATAGACAGAATGGTAATAAAGGTATTTGTAAAATATTAGGTCACCTTTCGATCCACAGATGTATGGTTGATCAACCTCATAATTTATAATACATGATATAATTAGAGTGCATAAAAGAACAGTGTTTTAATAATTACCTTGTATCTAAGTCTGATAGCAATTGTTTTTGAAAAAAAAAATAGATGTAATAGGGAAGATAAACGAGAAATAAAAGGAAAATAAAAGAGAAATAAAATAAAACCTATTTTATCAGAAAAAAAAAGGGACATTCAATTGACGTTCAAATAAGGTTTAAACAAGGTTCAATCAGTATCATAACTTTTTTTTATTTTTTTGGAAATAAAAATTTATGTCCTCCAATGAGAACCCTTAGTTTCAACTCAGAAGTTTCTAAATATGGTAGCCTTGAGTTAATGAAACTGAAATCGAGTTAATATTACTGGAGAATCTGCTGGAAGTTTTCAGTTTTATTAACATGGGGAGTTATAAATACTGATTTACTTAAAGTTTGATTAACATCAAAAATATGAAAACACCTTTTCTTCTAAAATCCTTTTATTATGAACCCCATGTCTACTAAAAACACCAATTCCAAGAGACCTCTTGTCAGAACTCCCGAAGAAGAAAAATTCGATCAACAAAACAAAGAAACCGCTAGTGAAATTCATGTACAAAAATATACATAAGAAATCATGTATTATACATACAACAAGATTATTGAAAGATACTTTTATTTAGGATACTGTTATAAATATGTCTGTAGAAGAAGAGCCCATGAAAGCTCGCAGGGGCCGTCCATCAAAAAGTGACATTCTGAACAGAAGCGTAGTAGCTGCATCTTTTGATAGATCCTCTTCTGGTGGATCTTCTGCTATTTCTTCTAGTTTTGGTTCTTCATCTGCTACTGTCACTCAAGGACACTTAATTGCTTCCCAAAACAATGGATATTTTGACGTTACCGAGTTTGAGCTAGCTATAAAGGCTTTACTGATGAAAGTGCGAGCGAGCACGGCAGCAACTTACAGAATGTCTTTGGAACACTGGAAAGTATGTTACAGCCCATTAAATCTTTTTTTTTGTTTTTTTTTGTTTTTTTTTTGTTTTGCTTTTTGTTTTTTTTATATATAGCAAAATGCTAATCGTATTTTGGTACTTCATAAATCATAGGAATTTTGTGAAAACAACCGATATAGATATCCAGTTGACCCTAAGTACCCGTACACTGTTGGTCCTACTGATTTTGTTGTTGCTTTCTTTAAGGAATTCGTTTTTAAGCGCACTTAAAAGAAAGGCGTTTCCATAGACACTGATGTTAGAACACAGATTGGTTTACAAACTGAGAACGCCAATAATCAATTGACTTTATTGCAAATTAATATGGAGCTGATTTAATTATACTCAATTACTAACATCTTTTTTAGTGGCAGAGAAAGCTCCTTCTAATAAGAAGGGCGGTAAAAAAATTATTAAAGTTCCATTGGGAATTGAAGCTGTCAATCAATACAAAAAAGCTTCGATGTTCTTGCATGAATTTCAATCCAGTTGCAGAGAAGTTGACTATCCTTCTCCTAAGAAAACTAAGGAAGTCATTGATTCAATCAAAAAATATGAGCATGACCTTGTGTACGATCAAGTACAAACAAATGTAGACAGAGCAGCACATTGCGTTATTCGTGATTCATATAAATCCGGTGAACTCATTAGAATCTTAAAAAACCTTTGGATTTCCAGTAGTGATACAGGTTTGCGTGAAATGTTTTTGATCTCCTCTCGTCACCATAAGATACTTCGGGATCAAGATCTAAGAAATTTAAACTTTGCAGATTGTTTTTGTACCATTACTCCTAAGAACCAGCACAAAGGAATGCAACAAGCTTTAGCTTTGGTATTTAGTCTCGACAAGGGCAAAAATCTCAAAGAAGGTGAAGTAAAGTTTGCTTGTGCAATGCGTCACGAAAACATCTTTCGTTGCCCTTTTGGTGCTTTTAGCTTTTTGATGTTTAGTTTACTTCAAGTATGTTGATATAAAAAAAGAAATTAACATTAAATGCTAATTTTTTTTTTATATCTAAAATAAAAATAGGATAATGCCAACTTTTTGAATGAAGAAAGATGGCATAATTGGAAGGTTTTGCGTGGACGTGCCGGTCCCGAGAAAAGTTTGAGTGGCGTCTCGCAATGGAAGACAGCGAAAAAGGCACTTGCAAGCGAGGATATACATACCACCAGAGTAACGCATGGTGGCCGACATGCTGGATCAATGGAAGCGGAAGGTTTGGGAATTCCATTTGATCTTATCAAACGAGGTGGAGGTTGGAAAGATGGTCTTGGTCGTTTAGAAACGCACTATTTGGGAAAACGTCCTTCTCCTTTTGCTAGAGGTATGGCATGATTTTGGGAAAAACCTTTTTCATTAGCAAGAAATAGCGTTAATCCCCCTATCGATCTGCAAAAAAAGATTTTTCCTTGGATTGAGAGCTACTTTGGTTACGGAAATCTGGAATGGGAGGCTGCATGCGAAAAGGAGATGAAAGAAGTAGATGAAAATGAGGATGAAGATGATAATATTTTTAATTTAGAAATCACAAACGAGATCGATCCTGTTGAGTTTGTTGAAGAAGATGGGAAAATGGTTTTAAAAGAAAAAAGATCAAAAGGAAAAGGAAAGCAGAAAGCCCAGAGCAGTATTGATACAACAAAAAGAGGTTTTTTGCGTTTATTGATTAGATGTAGAAGAATAATTTTCCAAGATGCAGCAGTGTACTTATACTTGAATAAGGAAAACAGGTGTGTCAATAGTAAAAGTGTTTTGTTTTCTTGTAATGAATTCAAAATATTTCAGGAAGACATTGTAACTGTTATAAGTAATCCATCTATTGGCAAATTAGAAGAGTACGAAGGCCTTGTACCCGATTTGATTAATACCCATAAAAAAGTAGCCAGTCGAGTTACGGAAGCTAACAATTGACTCGTACGATTGCAGCAGAGACAAGACAACAGACTGGAAAATATCGAAAGCTCCTTTAGTAACTACGTTGGGCAAAGCAATCAGCAAAATCAGCTTCTGATGAGCACAACCCAACAGTTATCAAATGATATAAAAATTATTATGTTGCAGCAAAAGTGTCTTAATGCACAAATGCAATTGTTCATGGCAACTAACAATGCTGCCCAGAATGCCAACGGTAATACCAATCTGGCCTTTCCAGCCTTACCTTCTGCTTCTCCAATGCAAGCTATTTCTTTTTCTTCGTCCGCTCCCTCCAAATCCAGAGCTATCCAACAGCAACCCACGATTTTTCCTTCTCCAACAGTAAGCAACAATGTTATAACTTCTACTGCTTCATCAAAGCCTAAAACCGAACCCAAAAAAAAGACAAGATGGGTCAGCTACAAACCTAACAGCTCAGAATAACTTTCATATATACACATTGCGTGTATATACTTTCTTACTTTATTTTTAATTTTATTCATCTTATTACTTATCTATTATATTTATCACCTACACAAAAATAATAAAAAAATAAAAAATTATGCGTTTTAACCAAATCGTTTTATTAAAACGTTTTTAGACAACAATAGAATAAAAATAAGAAATTACCCATATTAATTACCTAAATTATTACTTACTGACATTCTTGGTCCATAATGTTCAGCATGTCACCCTCAATTCACATTGTAAAGCCATTTTTTTCGAAAAAATAGTGAAGATTTTCAGTACCACTTTTGGTTTAATTTTGATTTTGTTCTTCATGCAAAACACCACTTCCTACATCTTTTTGAC